ATTTGAAGAGATGAAGTTTTAAATCAAGACACAATTTTTGTACTTCACAAATACAGTCAACTACTCCACAATCTAACTAAACTCATACCCCTTGAAAGGCATAAAAGCCCTTTCCACTATTGTTTTGTTATTTCTAGATTTAAAAAAAAATCATATCAAATTCACGGGCTTATTATTTTCTTCAACTCTCTATTAACCAAAAAAACATAAGAAAAAACAAATCCATTACAACATATACACAAGAAAATAGATTATAACAGATATATATGAAAACGATGATTTTGTTTCATACCCTTTTGTTGTCTTGTTTTAAGGCTTTCTTGTTGTTTCTGAATTTAATATCCAGGTAAGGATTTTGATTATCAGAGTTCCATAGCTGCACAGAGCTCATCCAATTCATTTTATTTCTAATGGCCTCTACTTTTTTGTCTTAAGTATCACTGCTTTTCTTCAGTGGTATAAATTCTTCTAATATTGGCTCAATACTTGATTTTTTTGCTTTGCATTAACTCCCCTTCAATTATTGCAATTGCTGCAATGACAGTCATCAAAACAAAAAAATAAGCAAACCCGTCTATAAAACACCAAAACCCCATTCCAGCAATAAAAAATCCCAAATAAATTATTTTCTAAAAATTAAGAAAAAAAAATCAGAAAGCCATTTATAAAATAGAAAATTGGCTCATCGTCGGTGATAAGGAGCATGCAAAGAGGGAGCTCGCGTTTGAATGCATCGATCTTCTTCATTTCATCTTGGAGTCTATTGACATAATCATCAAGCTTCGAAAGTCTTTCAGATGAGTTAATAATGAACGAAAGTTCGTCAAGAAATTCAGTGATCATTTTAGGAATATAAGGCTTCATCGTCGATTGTCTACAAGTCAAACTAAGTTCCGATGATCCCATTTCTTGCCGATCTTCGATTTTTCAATTAATTAATTTTCCCAGTTTTCTTGTGATTCCAAGCTCAAAGATAAAAGGGGAAATAGTGAGGCATGGAATTGGAGGCAAGAATTCCTGAGAATAAATCTAAATAATATGATGATAATAATGCATATTACTTGAGGCAAAAATGTTTTCAAATTTACCTGGGCACTACATTACAAAGCTCGACACACTGGCTTGCTCTGCATCACGTTTTAAATTATCACATAAAAAGCAAAACACATCAGTAAAATAAACAAGAAAATTGGAACGATTCAAAATAACCAAAGACGTTTGTAGCCGAAGTGAAAATCTCAAAGCCTAAAAGTCCGAAAGAGAGAGAAGAAACGGCTTACAGGTGTCAGCGGCACTAAGTGTGGCAAAAATCTCAAAGCTCAAAAGCCTAAAAAAGACAGAAGAAAAAAAAAGGAAAAAAATGAAATAGACAACAAACATATCACCATACAATCACTATTTTGAGCAATCTCTCTCAATTTCGGACAAAGAAGGAGGAGGAGGAATCTTATCGGTCAATGTGGGGAATGGAATGGAGGAGTATGGTTGGTTGCATGGAAAAAATAGAGAAAGAGTACAGAGTTGGGGAATGTTGACATTAGCACTGAAGAATCAATATAAATGAATGACTATAATCAAAACTTGTATTTCAAGTGTCAAATCCTTCTAAAATCTATTGTTTAACATCAACTGCAAATGGAAAGGCCGTGAGAAAATGAAGGAAAGGAAGGAGAGATAAAATGGAGGAAAGGAATGAGAAGTTTACAGTGAGGAGGGGGAGTGGGTGGTTACGTGTGATAATGGAGAAGGAGTACGAGGTTGCTGGAAATTTGACTAATTTTAGGGTTTTTTTTAAAGGGGGATTTTTGATGACGATGGGAAATGGAGACACATGTAACCTTTACTTTGCCTCTTTTAACATGTAGTGATATAATTGAAACTATCATCGTTTTACATTTATCTATCTTGTTTTGTTGGGATGGAATCGAATTAAATAGTTGAAGAACTCTAAGATAATTATAATGAAGTGGGGAGCAAATTGAATTTTCTTAGAGTCCTAATCAATAAT